CAGTTCTCAATTTCATCCACTTTGTACTCCCTATCTTTCTCTAAATATATCAGTATAGATACACATATAGATAAAAAGATATGTGATAATTTTTTTTTCCTCCATGATATTCATTGATGCCAGTGAATATAAATAAATGGGAGCCTATCGGGATGTTTAACAGTCATCCATATTACACATAAGCTATTTCAGGTATCCACTTGTTCATTCAAAACAACGAATGGAGAGTAATACCTTTTCTTATTGCCTAAACCAATAATTTTACCTCTCTGCAACTGTTAAGAAATATAGCTTTTTTTTCTATTATACATAATATTTTTCATTTAAAAATATTGTAGAAAACTTAGTTTATGTTTGAATCCAGTTCAAGCCTAATTCTAATTTTCTGGTTTCTTTTTTAAGTCTATTAACTCTTCAGAATATCCAAATGTAGTCATTTGGAAAATTATAAAATGTTTGACTATTTGCTTTCCAATTCAAATTGAATCAAAACTGAATATTTCTGGTATTTAAACTCTATTGATGCTTATCTTGCACATATACAATTCTTTTACTTGCAGCCTTGGCATTTTGCTACTATTTCAAAAGAAATTTCAAAGTAGATCATTTTTTATCATCTAGAAAATTTACAAAACATACTGAAAGAAAAATTATCAGTTTCAGAAACTGGCTGAGTTTTCTGATTAAATTTTTGTCTATTTCTTCCTTTGAAAAGCTTTTCACATATCTTGATATTTTCTGCGAAAATAGATCTTTGAAAAAAGAAAAACTCAAATGCTTGGCCGGATTTAGATGAAGAGAGGCCCTAGGCTATTCCACTTGTGAGGCCCCTCCAAATCTCCCACTCTCACGAGTAGAGGAAATGGAAGTGTGTTAAATTAAACAATTTGAGTAAAGCTGAGGATTATGATGGGTGTTTAAAATTACTGAAGGATTATTTAGAGTCTACAATGCAGTATGACAGCATGTGTAAGAAAGGCTTATGACAGTATCAAAAATATTAGACACCTTGGCTGGAGGACCTCTAGATTTAGAGGCCCTAGGCTTCAGCCTATAGGTAAATCCTGCACTGCCTAAATGTATATCATTAAGCATGTTTTATTCTATTTATTGCACTCAGTCACTATCATAAGTTACCCATATCAACAAAATGATTCAATGTAAACTGCTACACTAATCCAATATGGCTGTATAACATATTCTATCTACAATGTGGCTTGGCCAAAAAAATGATCAAAGGACACTTTTATGACACACATGGTTGAATGAAAGCAAAGTATGTAATCCAGTCACCTGACATCAGGATTACATGAAAATGTATACAGAGTGACTAGTTAACTACAGTAGTCAGAGAAAGAGAAATAAACTAAAATAATTTTGCTTTTCTACTGGGACAAAAAAAAAATGAGTTCCTTGCTCAACTAAAGGGGAAACTTCATCTTTGTTCAAACTTTTCTGTCATTCTGCATTCAAATAAAGGAAGAACTCTCAACCTCAACTACAAAAGTTTCAGTTATATTTTTAACATCCCAGAATGTAAGTGACCTTGCAAAATGAAAAAGTTTATTTCATTGGTATTGTATTAAATCAGTTTTATTCTTTAAATTGATTCAGATCACTGATATCATTCAATCCTTCAGTACAAATGGGCACCTATTATCCAGTATATGCAGACACAAATTCTAGCAGAAAAAAGGAAGATGCTTTTGTTTTCTACAATCAATGGGCATGTTATGCCCATCCATTGTATCTGTTTGTATTTCATATCAAAAAGAAAAACTATGCTGGACACATTGTTTTATCCTGATGCACCCATAAATTCTCTGTAACAAAAGCAACAACATTAATTATAGAAAGAAATAAATAAAAGAAAAAAGAAACTATATTTTTCTACTAACATTACCCATCAGTGTTCAGAACGAAATAGCTTAAATGGTCATCATTTCAAATTTATTCACAAATACATTCTCTTTTATATTAGATGAGTTATTTGTATATGTCTTCTAAGTAAAAAAAAACTTTTATAAAAAGTAATTTAATGCAGAAAATATAATTTTGTATATGTATGTATGTTTGTATATCCATGATATGATGATAAACTACATTCAGCAGCAAGATTTTGAGGAGCATGGAACCATCTCTTAGTTGCTGTTATTCTCAGATCCACCCTGATCCGGGGTGGTAGCACCTGTTATGGCCTCAGCTATGGGAAAATATGAGTTCAGATGATGAAAGTCACTCATCCACGCCCCAATGCCACTAACAAGAACCATTATGAGACAGAGACTTCTCCATCCTTGTTCAGAAATCTCCCTAGAATGAAAACTCTGGCATAACACCTGCAGCAAACTAGCAATTGATAATGTTGGTGTCTTCTTCTTTTCAGATTGTTGATTGTGTTGCATTGATACTGTACACTGTCTTTATTCACTTTTAATTTAATGTATAGGTATTGCACAATGTTTTGTTGGATCTTACTGGGTGGTGCGTATGGCTGGTCATATCTATAAATGACATGAATATTATGATGAATCCCAACAGACACTGGCAATGTGGGTTTTTTGGACCATATATAAAATTCAGTATTTTTATCCATTATGTTGAATGAGTTAAAATTATTCAGTTTTTAATGAGAAAAATCTTGAGTTAATGTTAAAAATTGCTGTAAAAACATTGTTGATTTATTTAAGATAGAATGATCTATTATAACATGTCTCTAATTTGTATTTAGATACATTGTATTTATTTTCAATTTTTCTAGTTCAATTGTTCACCTATATTGCATATGATCTATTATTGTAAATAATTAGGTTACAATAAAAATTTGTATTTTATATGAATTCTACCTTATGAAAATTGAAATGTAGTAGAAGTGGGCAGGGGCTGTATCATAGATTGTGGAGAGTGAATAAGACCCTTTTTCCAGCCCTGCAATTCATTTCTTTCAAATAAATTTGGTTGGGCTGTGATTTTCCCATAAAATCACAATTGTATTTGATTTTATCAGAAAATAATTTTTTGATTATTTTTATTTTATTTTACTGCTATTCAGGTAATGTTAACAAGGACTATGTTTTTCAATCCAAGTTAGAAAATGACATTGAAAGGTTTCTTTTTTATAATTTAAAGGTAACATAATTATCTTGAAATGTTATAGGACTAAAAACACTCATGAATGAAACCCTTATTTTGTTTCTCTTTTATAATCTACTTCAAACCTGGAAATTTGTATAATGAAACAAAAAAAATGGGAACTCAGAATTATTACTTTGAAGTGTAAGATTCATCAATTTACACTCAAACAATCAGTTTTGGTCTACTGCAATACAATCTTAGAGTTTAAGCAGTCTTTTTTGTTTTCTTGCTCTTAAATTATTCAGAAATATACTTATTTCCTTAGGAACACAGATAATTGATCATGAAAAAATATTCCCCAATCTTTTTGATAATGAAACAATTAAGTGTTTTACTGAAATCAAAGCTACATTAGATGCACTCACAATGAAAAATAATAACTTGTAATTATACCAAATATGAGAAAATAATATCACTCAGTATGATTTTTGTGTTTTTTTAATTATTCATAAATTCTTGATTTTAAAATAAATTTGAAATTAATATTATTTTCTATTATTAAATGTGTTAATGACTTATTTTTCAGTTATTATTCCACTGGAAAGAAAAGTTACACCTAATTGTAAATACTGTTTTATGTGTTTGTTTCTTGATGATAATTGCTTGGAAATCTCATTGTTAAAATAATCACAGCACCAAAAGAAAATAAAATAGACCAAGATAGAATTTAGCTGGAGAATAAAAACATCATAATGGTAATGTATTACATCATTATCATAATGGCCAGCTGGAACATATGCTTATCATTTGTAACTCTCTTAATATGATCAGCTACAGTCTTTGATATGTCTTACTTTCTGCCCATCTACCTTTTTGTTCATCTGTTATCTTAACTACTGACAACGAATCATTCAGATATAGATATTAGATTATTTCCAGATTTAAATGATCTTGCATGAAAACTGGATATACTTAAAAATACACTAAATAACAAAAACAAAAAACATTACTTTTCTTACTTCTGTCATATGTTCTCTAACACAGTTCTTTCTTGCAGGCATTTAATATTTAAGCATGTTTCCCTGAAAATGTGTTGTAAAAATCCATTTTTAATGGATCTGGAGGTATAAAACTATTTTTATAGCTAAGGCCAGAGCAATGATAATATAATTTTAGTTTCCTTGGTAATGTGAATAGACGTTATGCATCAGCCAGAGTCAGCTTCGAACTCCTTTAGATTCACTGCAAGAAGCTGGAGATTTTACGGCTATTTCTCTGCACGCTAAATGAAAACCATGTTGCGTTCAGGTGAGTAGGCATTCAGTACTGAATGGCAGATTAAACTGGGGTAGGAAGACAACCTTATGAATATATAAATCACATTTTCTTCTTTGTACTATGTTTTAAATTTGTGTTGCTTTTATTTACCTTTGTACTTTGGAAAACAGTATGTTCCCATGCAAAAGATTTGGTTTAAAAAATGGATTTTTCAAATCACAGTATCACAAATAGCATTTTCAAATCACAAATATCACTTTAGCAAATACAACTCAGCATGATCATATAGTATTAGTGATAGGAATTGGCTAACCAAGCAGAGGAAAATACGCTATATTCCTGCAAGCTGTCTTCACTGCATGTATCTTTCTCAAAAGATTTTGGTATTTTTTTGTGAAGTTAACCTTGTATAAACAAGACTGAAAAAAAAATATAAAATATGCCCTTCAATAATTCCTATGGAAAAATGATAAAACATTGTCTTTAAAAAAAAAAATTAAAAAAGAAAATGTCTTTTAATACTTATAAACTTGAGTTGCTGTTTTTCTTTTCTTTCATATTTCTCTTTTTCATTGCAGGAAGATGAAATGACAAAACGCACTGAAGAAGTGATGAATGTTTCTAGAGTAGAAGCTGAGGTGAAACAAATGAAGAGAGAAAATCAGGAGTTGCGTCAGTATATTCTGGCTCTGCAAAGTGAAGTGTATGGTGCCAGGCTTGCTGCCAAGTACCTTGACAAAGAGCTTGCAGGCAGGTAAGTATAATTCTTGTTAGAACTCTTTTTTTTCTTTCTTCACCGTACTTATTATACATATCTTATTATTATTTTTCCACTTTGTCTTGATTCTCTTTGTTGTCGCCTGCAAATAAAGTCTTTCAAGTTTCCCAGCTTTCAAATCATACTGTATCTGATGGCATATAAGTCTCCCTGCTTCCTTTTACATTTAATGTCACAGTTACTACTATAGTACCCATAAAAAAAATGACAGAATTTTTTATGTATGGATTGAAACTTTTGCCTAGGATCGGGATCTGTGTAATGCTTAGAATCAAAGTGTTGCTTTTGGCACTTCATCTAGTATCAGAATTTAGTATCTGTGTGCTCTTGGAAAAGGGTTACATATGCACGCATTCACACACACACACACACACACACACATATATATATATATATATATAAGATATGGCACATTGAGTGCTGGTGTTAATAAAATAGTGTTCAATGTAATATAACAGCTATTAAATATATATTAATAAATATACATATTCTTCACCATATATATATATATATATATATATATATATATATGAAACATTTGTAACATTCAATTTAAAAGCAGGATCAATACAAGAGTAGAGCAATATTCTTTATTTTAGGATGTTACATCAAAAACATCTAAAAACGCTACACAAATGTTTTGTTGAGTATTAACACATCTCATCAGTTGTTAATAAATAACTGGTTACTAGACAATTTTTTTGAGATTTAAAAACTACATACAACCTCTTTTCATGAGAAAAGGAAGAAAAAAAAGAGTTAGAAAGAAAGACACAAGATATACTCTAAAATTATTTAAATATACAGATCATACAAAATAGAATGCAACTGTTAATTAAAGGGTCTTATATAGGGTGTTAATAAAACCAATCAATGCAAATATATATATGGATACATATTATATATTTTATATATGTAGATTAGGAAGTTAGGCTAGGTACAAACTAAATACTTCAACTTTACCATTTAGATCAGTAGTTATCAACCTGGATGCATATGGACCCTGGAGATCTTTATAACACTACTAGAATCCACACTAAAAATAGCAAATTGGGAGTCGACTGTAATATTTTAGTGGTCCATAGAGCAATTTCATTTCGGAACAGTTGTTACAACTGAGAATTGGAATTTACATAGTAATCTACACCATATTAAAATACTAAAACAACTCTAAAACTAGTAAAAAATAAGATCAAGTGATGTAAGTTAGTGTCCCTTTTACTCTACTGGATGCTTTGACTGTAAAAGTTTAATAAAAATTGAGAAGGATGCATAGTGTACATAAATGTACCATAGAATTTACTTGTTAAATACAAGTTTATTTTCGTTAAATTAGTTTTACTTCAAAATAAAACATATGCATTTACTATTTCTATAATACAAATCTTATTATTAAAAAATAAATTAAGTTTTTTTTCATCGAATGATTATGTGGGACAAAAACAAAATTAAAAGTAAATTAGTCCAAGGGTAATGAAGGGATATTATTATAAATAAATAAATATAAAATAATAATAATAACGAAAATTATAAATAAACTAAAATAAAACAATATTTAAATGTTGTATAAAATAAATAAAAATTTAAAAATAATAAAAATACTAAATAAATGTCCAACTTCCCTCTGTGATATGGCATGTAATAACACAGAGTAATTTCTTCTTTTTTATCACATGTACCATAAAACAATTGTAACTTAAAAAATACACACATCAGTAGACACACAAAATATATAATGAAATTTTATGAAATTAATATACAATTTACCATGCTTTTCTTGTTATTTCTATATGTTTTATTTCCTGTCAAGTATGCTTTTATTTCCATAAACACAAAGTTAATTTCTGCTGGTATGATGTGAGTGAATCCCCCATAGTAAAAAACAAAAGTTTGAGAACCACTGATTTAAAGGAAAAGAAGATTTTATATGCCATCGAATATGGTAGTTACTTGGTAGTTGCGATTTTCTTTTGATAAATGATTTTAAATTAAAGATGAAATTTTACAGAGGTGATTGCAAATAATCACAAAAATGCATAAAGATAATAGTTTTTTGTCACACATAGAAATGACATTTGATCAAAGAAAAGAAAAAAATTCTTATGTATTTCTTATAATTATTGTAAAAATATCCATTTAATTTTACATCAAGCCTTTTTTTTTGAAAAGTCTAGGGAAGTACACAGCAGTTAAAGGGAGATGCTAAATGATCAGAATGATTTGTTTATTGTTGTCATAAAATTAATAACTATCTATAACATGTTTACTAGAAATTGGTTCATTCATTCATATTCTATGACTTCTCAAACCTTTGCAGCTTATTTAAAGCCAAAAAAACTATTTTTAGATTAATTAACTCATATCCGGTGGGGAGAGAAGAGTTGGAGTTATACCTTTCCCAAGTGTATTTGCATGTAAGTCAATATAACAAACCCAACTGGAATTGGAACTCAGCTCTCCAATTAACAATTTCAAGCCATTATCCATTACCACCACCTACACATCCAAACTTACATCACTTAGTATTCCCAAGTGGTTATCCATCTAGGTACTGACCAGGCTCAATGTTGCTTAACTTTGGTAATCATATGAGAACCACTGTTTCAATGTGATGTGGCCATAAGCCTTTCACTAGAAAAACTCTGAGGAATAGTAGTAAAACAAATCATACAAGGGGATGCTTAAAAGTTGTCAACCCAATCCAGTTCCTGACCAAACATATTTTTTTCAAGGACTCCTTCATCAGGTTAAAAACCTTTCAGCACCTCCTTGCAAAGATGAATAAAAATGATCAAGACAGTTTGTTTTAATGTTTTGCACTTTAACTGAACTGAAATGTAATACTTTTTTTTAGCTTACTACAGAAATAATTCCCTGTATTACTTCAATAGTCCTTTTTGAAAAAAATTAAGCAAGAACTTTGTAAACATACATACATGCAGTTGTCAATGTACATATAGATATATATTTCTAGTAAAAATAATAAAAAAGATAGCAAATAGTTGGAAAAAGTTATTACTTGATGGAATTAAGATCAGAAGTAACTGTTTACAGAATTAATTAAATCAAGTGATTCTGTGGACATAAATTAATGGAAATATAATTTTATTTAATACCTGACTCCAGTATCAAGATCATTTGAGCCTGAAATTGACTAAGGAATAATTAGTTGCTGATCATGTTTATACTTGAATATGTGTATGCTTGAATAGCTCAGGTTTTCAAGAGCAAAATTACTTGTAGCTTTGGTTACATTTTTTTTTTTCATGCTGATGTCAAAAAAGAAAAAATACTTGTGTCAAAATCCAAACTTCTTGCATCTTTATATTTTCTTTTATGATTCCATTGATGTTTTCCAAATTGATTATATTGGTGAGAAGCCTATGCCGTTATGCTTTATGTGAGGGTTGAGTTTCATTAACTTTGCACTCACTGCCAACTGCTTAGAATATGGGAACAGACCAGGTGGGCAGAATACATAAAATCTTGGAGAAATCTGCCACCCAAGAGATTTTTTTGAATCATAAAATCATATTTACATCAACTACATACACTTTGGGCATCCATACATTTCCCAACTAACACATAATTTCTACCAGTCCACATTTGCTTCTTTTAAGATCTGACATAGCAAGATTTTATGTGGATGAAGTGGATGTGCTTAGAGATAAATAACAAAAAAGATACAACTACTGACAAACAAATGAGAGAAGAGGAAAATAGTGGATTTAGATATTGGGAGTGTCAGATTTTATTATGCAAGTCAATGTTTTCACAACAAAATTGGTATTAAGGAGTTGGTTTTAGTAAAAGTTTCAAGATATATTTACTGAGAAATATACCATTTTAATTTCTAACTTTTAATTTTTTTAAATTAATTTTTTAATTGTTATTTTTAATTCTAATTACAGTCTATTTTTAATATATTACTATTAAATAATATATATTCATGTTTTAATAAGACCAAGTAATCTCCCTTTAATTATATTATTTTTTTTTTTTAATTAAAATATGAATACTCCCCACTCAAATATATAATTTTTTAATTTTCTTTTTTGCATACATAAATCCCACTTATTTCAATTGCCAAATAAAATTTTAAAATTAAAAAAAATGTAATCCCAGCATAATATATAACTCCGCCAACATTATGATAACCAGATATATTATAATTCAAAATTGTGTAACAGTCAGTTTAAACTCAGTACTGGAAGATTGCATTGTGAATGAAACTCAGAGTAGTTCTAGTGGTGAGAGATAATATGTATATTAACATATACTTAATAACTCTGTTATATTACATCAAGTACTGTTTTATTAACCCCAGCACTATATGTATATATATATATATATATATATATATATATATATATATATATATGGTTGGATAGATGTGAGTTTGTGACCCTGGGTTTCACGATTTAGCGATCGTCAGACAAACTGATTAATTTTTTTAAAATTTTGGGTTTATGTAGATTGCCTGTATCGGTGTTATTGTGGAAGTGGTGGGGAAACTTCGTCATTTTGTCATCGTACTAATGCAAACATCGATGTATGCAGACACATATACATACTTGGTCGTCCGCATATATAATATAAATAAATACATATATATATATATATATATATATATATATATATATATATATATATATTTATTTATATACACACACTTTTCACACACACATATATATATATATATATATATATATTATAATGTATTGCTTCCTAATCAACTTTGATCTTCAAAAATTTAAATGCAATAGCAACCATTATCTTCTGTTTTCTTAATTCATATTCTTTTATTGTTCTCCCACCTTATTGATAATTTTTCTCATTTTCTCTAACACTCAGTAACCCCTTTCATTTTAGTGGCTTTATTGCCTTGCTTTGGATGAAATGATAAAAAAAAATATTATAGTATAGATATTAATGTTTATTTTTTCATTTTAAAGATATATAGATTGCCATGGATCACTAGGAATATAAGCCTCAAAAAAGAATCAAGATATTGTAAAGTTTTTGAGTGACATGATTATGATGTTGGAAATTATGAAAAATTTTAAGAAAGATCAGAGAACAATTAAAAAAGAAACTTAAAATATTTACAAGAAAAGAAAAAAAAAACTGGCCTTCAGACTGTCACTAAAATAGAAATATAGAAAATTTAAAAGAAACTAGAAGATTGACCAGCAAGAAAATATTTCAAGAAGCAGCCATTACAAAAGAAAACAGAGAGAAAAGATGCCAAATATTAGGAACAAAAGCCAATTAAGAACACTGGGGAAATTCATGAAAACAAATTATCACATTTAAGTAAATGTATCCTGGGTAAAACGTTAAACTACATCCACGTCCTGGGTAAGACGTTAAACTACGTCCAGCAGCAAGGCCTCTGACCCAGGGTGGTAGCACCTGTTAGGGTCCCAGCTATGGGCAAACAGTTAACTATTACCAGCAATACTTTTTTGAAAAAAATTATAACCAGCAATACAATTTTGAAGGAAATATATTACCAGAAACAGATTTTTGACAAAACAAAATATTACCAGCAATAAAAATGTTGTCAGCATTAAATAACCCATTGAGGTTGATATGCCATAAAACAAAATAAACCAAACCAATTTAAACCAAATACATACTCTATTCATACGGATATATCCTAAAAATGTTGTCAGCATTAAATAACCCATTGAGGTTGATATGCCATAAAACAAAATAAACCAAACCAATTTAAACCAAATACATACTCTATTCATACGGATATATCCTAAAAATGTTGTCAGCATTAAATAACCCATTGATGTTGATATGCCATTAAACAAAATAAACCAAACCAAACCTTTAAGTAAACATCACTAAAGGAAATATGTAAGTTGGGCTAAGAAGTACATGAAAATTGAAAAATGTCAATTTTAGTTATGAATATAGAGCTACATTGGATAGACTTGATAACTCGACTAGAAGTTGGGTCCTTCATCGATATAGTCAAACAAACATGAGACAATGAAAAGAAGAATGGAGTAATGCTTTAGGCTAAAATTGTATAAAAACTTATATTAATATTTAATGTAAATATATCTTGAAAATTTTGCCAACATTGGTTGCTTGTTATTAAATTTATTGTGAAAAAATTGAATTGCATCATAAAATCTGATATTGTGTAGTAATTCTAGAAGGGATCAGTTTATTATTGAATAATAATAGAAAACATATCCTTTACTTTATAACCAGTAAAAAGTTATGTTTATATTTAATGTAAACATATCTTTAAAATTTTGCCAACATTGGTTGCTTGCTATCAAATCCATTGTGAAAACATTGACTTGCATAGTAACACTTGATATATTAAAATCATGTATTATTCAAACGTGCATGTAAATTAGTGTTTTAATTTTTTTCAACTCATTGAATATTAAATCTAATGGATATTATTTAAAATTAGTCAGCATGAGTTGAGAATTTATCAAAACTTTAAGTTAAAACTTAATCTGTTATAAACATCTTAGCCATGTAAAAATTTAAATTTGTAGAACTATGTGACCAATTTTGACTACTACCTCTTCTAATTTCAATTGTTTATTATCAAAGTTACTCAGACCATCATTCTATAGCTCTTGATAATGGTAATATTAAACATTTTCTTATAAGGAAACATTTGGCATTCATTGACCAAGAAACCAGTGTTACTTTAAGTTGAAATTTATAAAATCTTTCTATTAAAACAATTTTTCAGGAAAATTGTTTCTCAGGTCCAGTAGCTGTTATTGCTCTTTCAAGTTTTCATGGCAGATTCCTTCCTAACCTTTTGTTTGAAGTAGTGTGGAACTACAACATCTTGATTTTCTCTTTAAGTTACATATGTTATCCACTTTATCTGTTGGTGTTATTAAAAGTCTTCAAGTGATGTGATTTCTATTATCTGGTGTTTTTTTGTAATTCTGTAGCACCAATCCACAAGGTTTGAAGACAAATAGTCCTTGCCAGGACCTGCAGGCTTCATTTTCTCAAAACCATTTTTAACCATTGATTTGAGAAATTGGTAGTATACAGCTGACAGTTTATATGTTTCTGAACAAATTTGGCACCATGCATGGTATCCACATGAAAGTATTTATATTGTTTATTAAAACAGAACTGAGTTTGAGTTGTTGTGATAAATGAAAACTGAAATTGAGATGAAGGCAATACTTGGTTGGTTTGGTTTGTTTTACAGCATATCAACCTCAATTGGTTATTTAATGCCGACAATTTTTATTGCTGGTAATTTTTTTTTTTTTTAAATCTATTTCTGGTAATATTTTTTCTTTCAAAAAGTCTATTTCTGTTAATGTTTTTCTTCAAAAATCTATTTCTGGTAATATGTTTTTCTTCAAAAATCTATTTCTGGTACTATATTTTTTCTTCAAAAATGTATAGCTGTTAATATTTTTTTTTTTTTTCAAAATTGTATAGCTGGTAATAATGTATTGCTGGTAATAATTTTTTATAAAGTATTTCTGATATTAAAACCTACTTTTACACTTTCATAGTGTTTTGATCAGAGTTTGATCAGAGGCCATGCTGTCGGATGTAGTTTATTGTCTTACCCAGGAAGTGGATGTAGTTTATCGTCATACCCA